TGGGCATTGGAAACTGTGAGGGTCTATGCAGCCAATAGATTATAGCTGCTTCAGTTAGAGGGTACATGGCTTCTGAAAGCAGAGGAGGCAAGCTGGAGTCAGAAAAGCATGGATCCAGAACAGGAGAAGGGAGGTCCCCTGTTCAGTAGGCTGAGGTCAGTTTTTAAGAATTCACACCATATAGAAAATAGACCAAAAAACAATGCGGGCAGGGAAGAGAAGCTGACACTTGAAGTCTGGTATAAGCAAGCCGATCTATACAAAGGGTCCAAGCCTCTACTCTCATACTTGGCCTTCGGTCACTGTGTTCTTACCTTCAGTGTCTCCAGCTCCACAAACCTTGAATCTGTAGTCAGTTTCCTTCCTTTACATGTTTTCTTTACAGTGCTTTCTCCCTGGCTTCTTTTCTTTGGGGCAAATACTAAAATGTAACCCTGGATTAAGTATTGATTCTCTTTCTCCATTTCATAGATTTCCTCCGAGTTCAAAGTTGGAAAGAATCTGCAGTGATAAATGATCCCTCTTTGTAGAATATGTTGTTTCTGAGTATTCTGGGAGTCAGAGGAAAAATAATTTCCAATAAATCTGCTGAATGCTGCAGTGAATTATGAACCTGAGCAGAAGATATATCATCCAAGAGGACCGAACACAACGGGCAAGTATTTCATGTTTGAAAGCTGTAAGCTTATTTCTACTAATCAGGAAACCATCTTGCTTAAGTCTGGCCTCCTATATAAATTCAAAGTCAGGGGATTACAAAATTGTATTTCATAGTAATATTTATTTATCTCATTTACTATCCTCAATTATTAATAAAAATTCAGGTTTTTTTAAACTTTCAATACTTTTAACCTCATTATTGTCACCTTTCCTCCCTGAAAAAGCACTTAATATGATATAGCAAGAAAAAAAGTGAGATTTACTTGGAAATTTCTTTTCATTTATAGTACTGGCTTTCTGGTCAACCCCAAGGAAATAATTTATGATAAAATGTCTTGTCTTCACTGCTTATTCCTTTCCATACAACAAACATTACACTCTTTCCAAGATAAAAGCCATAACACCAACTAGAAACAAAATGTTAATGTACATTTTCAGATATATTACAAAGACACACATAAGCTACTTTGAAGAGTTCCAGATATAAATGTGAAAGCCCGGAAATACTTTGAAGTACCATCAATATACACAGATGTTCACTATCTTTCCTTTAGAGTATAATATACAGTTATGATTTTATATGTATTTACTTACATAATTATCTGATTAAGGTCATAAGCATTATATGGGAAGCTGTTTTAGCTGACCACTCAATCTCCAATACCCAGCTCAATATCTAGAATATAGTGGGCACTCAATGAATTGTATTGAGTGCATGTCAGAAAACCAACCACAGTTACACATAACAACCACTCCAAGGGAAAGAAGAAACATTTGGAAGCGATGGATATACTTATCTTGAATGCAGTGATTGCTTCATAGGGGTATACATATGTCCAAACTTACCAAATTCTACACTTTAAATATCTGAAGTTTATTGTATATCAATTATACTTCAATAAAACTGTTTTTTAAAATGTCAAAATTCGTAACAATGCAACACTAAAATGTATCCATGAAGTTCACTAAGAATTTTGCGATATTTTATAGAGGATCAGCATTACTGGAATGCTGTTTGTTCTCTTTTGCAAAAGAAACAGCACCTCTTACTGTTAGTTTTCACTTCTTGGCTCTGGTAGGAAGAAGAACTTTGAAGTAAAAATCATACCTTATCATCAGTTTTAAGTAATAAATTTGAATTTGATATCTCAACACTAGGGTTGTTTTCCCTTGAATGTTCATTTACTTTTTGAATAAAATATTCAGTAAATGTTTCCTAAAAGATTGTGTATGAATTGAATGAGATTTAAAATATGCTGGAGGGTATTTAAAAGTTTTTTCCATTAAGAGTTCTTTCAAATAATACAATTCCACATTTCAAAACCAGTTTCATTTAAACAGTAGCCAAGAATTTTCAATTATAGTGAAGAAAAATTCATTGCACTTTTTTGTTGTTGGAAATTTCCAGTATATGAAGATAATAATGTTTAAAGACATTATAACTTTGAATTAAAACCTTGGTAAGGCATTTAAAAAGAAAACAATAATATACTGATGGGAAATGAATCACAGGCATGAGGAAAAAACACCGATTTTATCATTATGAGTAAGAATAAGTGCTTGGATTATTTAATAACAATGGGTTTAGAGGTCTGGGTTGAAATCAGTTTGTTTTTAAAATTTGATCACTTAATTTTGACAAAAGCGAATATGGTAGTCACAAGATTTTTCTGACCTCAAGTACTTTATAGCATATAAGCTCTAAATTATTTTACATAAGTAATTCTGGCAAAGTAACACATTCCTGTATATATGCTTATGAAGGGTGCAAACTTATTATCTCTTCAAATAGAACGCTACCTATTTTCTACTTATTTCCAGTGTCCAACCTTAGGGAACCAGATCAATTACAGTATATACATTTTCAGTTCATTCATTCAACAAATATTTATTGATCTTGTGCTATGTAACAGACACTGTTCTTAAAGATAGACAAATTGTAATAAGACAAATATAGCACAACCTATTAATCATAAACAGGTAAACAAACAAGAAAACTTCAGACAGAGATAAGTAGTGTGAGAAAAACAGAATAAAGCAATCTGGTGGTGGCTGGCATTGGGGAAGTGGGGCAATATTAGCTCAGGTGGGCTGGAATAATCTGAGCCCACGACCAAATGAGGGGCTAAAAGAGATGAGTCTGAGAGGAAGTCAGGGACAAGACCATGAAGAGTTTGAATTTCATTCTAAGTCCTATGGGAAGCCACTGAAGAGTCCTAAGAAATGACATAAACTGATCTGTGCTTTAAAATAATAACTATGGCTACTGTAAGATGAATGGGTGACAAAAATAAAAGCATGGAGATCAGTTAGGAGGCTATTGCAGGTGGAGAGTGAAGGTGGCTTGTATAAGAGGGGTAGAGGTGGAGATGAAGAGATTTAAGGTATGTTTTGGAAACAGAATCTAAAGAACTTGCTGGTGTCTTAGAGGGGAACACATGCAAGGAATAGTGACAGAAAGGGAGCAATCAGGGAGGGAAATCCTGAGAAAAGGGCTTTACAAGTCCAATAATACACCTTATCCATATACTAATCCATCGAATTAATATAACACCAACTATGCACCAAAGGTAATAAGTATCTTTTCTCACTGTCGCCAGGTAGCTTTGTGATTTGATGGAATTTTATGTTACAGCTTCACCTCAATTTTAAACTAAAAGATGTAATGATCTAAAATTTAAGATTAATTTAGCTAATTATTTTGTGTTTCTGAAAAAGAATGTAAGGTATAGTGGCCAGCAGTGTTCGGCATCTGTATTTTATAGTAATGTGGTATCAGCTTTCCATGCCTCGGTCTCAGTCAGAAGCAGGGTTCTCAGACGCATCTCTACACCTTCAGGCCACAAGTTCCCAAAGGACTTCTGTCTGTATTACAAGTTAGTAAATTAGCCAGCATGCCTCTCTCACCTACTTGACTATGAGTTCCTACTAAAAGGGATCAATTCTTAATCCTTGGTGGCCCCAAACAACCACCAACTCAGGCAGCATCTAATAATCAGTAAGTGAAAATCCAGCAAGACAGGAATGTCCCCTGACATCTCCTTTTCACTTTCTGGACTTGATGATTTTGTGCCTGACACCTCTGGAGACAATTTTTTTTAAGATACAATTCACATAACATATAATTCATCCATGTAAAGTGTACAGATGGCCAATGAGAACCTTTGTTGCAGTCAAATTTGTCTCTGTCCCCCACAAATATATATGCTTTTTTTTTTTTTTATCATTCCATTTACCTTAAATATTTGTTAAACAATTATTGAATACTAAGTATGTGCCAAGTATTCCTATCCGGAACCACTGATGGTTCACTGCTACAATTTTAACCCCTTAACCAGGTTGGTCACCCAGTTCTTGGGCTCTCCCCTTCTCTCAATACCTGTAACTGCTGCTGCTCGTCCGTTTGGCGTTAAGCATCAGCCACCTAGTTACATGGCTGGTTCGCTTTCACATGTGCATTAAGTGTCTCTGTCACCGGGCACTCTGGCTCAGCGCCTGGCACGTTATGCATTCCGCGTATATTTTGTAGAGGGTGATAAAACCTGGTCCTTGGAGCTGTTGTTGAATAACGCTCTTCCTTCTAAGTCCCTCAGCAGTGGAGTCACAGGACCCAAACCTTTTTAATGATCTTGCTGGCATCTGAATTGCTCTACAGATTCTATGACAAGGTCATGTTGCTGGAACTGGAGTTCCCTGCCAGGGGCTGGCACACTGTGCTTCTTATAACAATGGAAGAGGAGATCTGAGAGGACTTTGAAGTCAAACAGAAACACATCAGTGCCACACTCAACTTCAATGAGGTTTCTGAACCAGAAAAAATGCATGTGATTTCTAGCAATCAGGAACGAGTGGTTTTTCAGAAATGAGTTAGTTGGGACACTGTTACATGACCGATAAGGTGATAGAAGAATCTGGGAAAAGATACACAATAAGTTGTAGACTGCATCGTGCAATGTTTTTCTCTGTATGAATGGCGCATATTGTCACCTTTGCTGACGGGTTGTCCATGTCACACACACACACACACACACACACACATACAAGGCATATATAAAAAGGATTCCTCCATAGAAAACAGGAATAATCTCTGGAACTCCCTTCAAACAATTATTATTTGCAAACAGGCGGAACTGAACTGCATTTGAAGGCTCAACAGGAATTACAAGGGCGATTGCTCATAAATCAAATGTCATGCCACTGTGCACTGATTTTGAATAAAAACTGGCTGTGGCTTTCAGTAAATTACATGCAAAATATTCATCATAAAAGTACTGCATTTTCTCTGGTTTCTATGCAGTGACTTTTAAAGCTGATTTTTTACTATTTCTTGTTGTACTTACCCTTTAAATTTTGTTTCAGACTCGTGTTCATCCAGCCAAAGGAAGCCTGCTTTTTACAGGGAGGTCCTGGGTCTGGAAGGAATAAAGACGGCCCGTGATGACAGTCCTAGAAGAGCTGTGTGCTCATTTCTTACTTTTAGAACATACTTGTAAATCATGACCACCACCGACCCAAACACATTTATCTCGAGTCCTGCTCTACCCTGTGATGTTTCCTCAACACCAGAAATGCATTTTTGCTGTCGTCGTTGTCTTTATTCTAATCCCAGCCTCCGTATCAAAGCCAAGTAGAATGGATTTTTCACAAATATGCATCGACTGCCTGACTCAGTATTAATGGAGGGCAGGGCTCTGATGAGCAAATGCTACCTGCAGGAGGCAGAGGAAATACCACGAATGGAGATAAGCTGCTATTAAGAGGTTTTATCTTTTTTTTTTTTTTTTTTTTAATTGAGGCTTGAGAATAATCACTTATCTCTCTGGTCAAACCTCTCGGGATTTCTCCCTTCAGGACCTGAAAGCAGTTCATATAAAAGGCCTCCCTATGCGGCCCTCTTCCATCCAGCGCTGGAGGGAGCGTACAAGGTGAGGGGGGCTGCTTCTAATTCAGTGTATTCATTTCTTGCCATTTCAGCAGTTCACCAGAATCTATAGAACTCCATACATTCTAACTTACAGATGAAACCAGCAATAAAATAAAAATACCGTACTTCTTTTGATATCTTGTATACAAAATAAAAAGTAACGAGGTTACGATGGTCTGTCTCTAGGATACGGGACACATTAAAATTTACTGTGTTTATGGATTTTATACCAGGACCCCTCTCCTCTTATCAGTTCAAACTACTACACCTAACTTCCTGCAGGTTTCACTAAAGGCCAAAACGCCCAACAAACAAGTCCTTTTTAACCACCTGGCCCAGCAGTTGACTTTATTGCGCTCCAGAGCTTGGTCCGGCTGCGGGGCGCGCACACGCGCCACGGGCACGAGAGCGGCGCGCGGTCCCGGCCCCGGAGCCTGTTGCTTGCGGGCCAGGCGAGGCAGCAGGTGCGGCTCAGGCCGAGAGGGCGCCTGCGGGCGCGGGGAGGCTGGAACCCCCGGCGGGGACCCCCCGGTCCCTCTCCACTGCAGGCGCTGGCGCCCAGACCTCGGCGTCCCAGCCCTCGCGGCCCTCGCCAGCCCACTCAAACCCAAACCCACTTTCCAGACCACGGGCCACTCCATTGCTTTTAAAAGCCAGAGGGCCCGGGAGGGGCTATTCAAGGATGTGGGCGCCAGAGCACCCCCTCTCCGCGGGCCGAGACCGGAGAGAGTGAGACGCGCGTTGCGGAAGGACAGGGCGAGCCGGAGCCGGGGGCGGAGCGACAACCTGGGCAGCAGGAGGTGGGTGGCTGACGAGGCTCCCCCCGCGCGGGTGGTACGGTCCGAAAGGGGCGGGC